ATATAGAACATTATATTTTAGATAAAATATATAATATTTTAAAGTAATTAATTCTTGCATTAAACATTTTTTAATTAAATAATAATGACAGAATTAAATATTAAAATAATATAATATAAGTATCATAAAAACAAAATATTCTTGTTTGATAGGTGACCTAAAACTTTTATACAACACTATATATATTTATATATACATATGTGTATATATATATATTATATTTATTTATTTATTTTATTTATCCATCCATTCCTTGCTTCTTTAATTAATTAATTTATCCACATTTTTATTTCTTCGTTTATTTATATATTTATATATATATATAAATATTTATAAATATATATATATATATATTTATATGTTTCTCTCATTTTTTAGTGCCTACTTATTGTTAATCAAGGAGGAATGTAGTCGTAGTGATCGCATTGGGTTGAGCGAGATAAAGAATCGTTCAAGCAAGCCGGCACGTTCATCGTCCGGTATGCAACTTATAATTGAACAGAATACCCAATTACATCGGTAAAAAATTAAACGTATTCTTAATTTCAATCGAAAAGATTTGCATATAAATTCGATTAATAACAATGCATTTTTCAAAATACTACTTAACTCGATCATCTCACCTTATTTTGTCACTATAACTAAACCAAATCTAAAAACTTTCTAACCTCTTCTTTTAACGGATTCGAATAACTTTATATTTATACATATTATATATAATATAATATCGTATCATGATCAAACAATACTTAAATAAAGTACAAATAAAGTATCTGAAATGTAATTTTTGTTTGAAACAATCGAACGAACACGTTTAATTTTTCACTGTATAAATAGTGAAGACTAATGGATGTTGAATCCTCGGAGGCACAGGTTGCGCGCTCTATGATTCGACACATATGGATCAGGCATAAACCATTCAGCGTTTCAGAACCAGAGAAACTGAACCGGCTTATAATTGGCTCTCTATAAAAAAAAAAAGCGTGTTGTTATCTCTCTCTCTCAAGATCTTCACGAGAATCGGAATCTTCGCGTTATCCTAATACATAACGATGACTCTTAAACGTTAACGTTTCAAGCGTAAAGACTATATGATTTTTTATCCACTTTATTTTTTTTTCTTTTTTTTTTTTTTTTTTT